TCAGACTGTTTATTTTTGAGTTCAGAGATGAAAATGTACCGTAGAATAATGCTGAGTGAACCTAATTCCCAAAGGAATGATAGTATCATACCAATATCAGAATCTTTAAGAATAAAAATATAGACACAAATTTCTCTTTTGGTAAATACTGTCATGAAATGCACAGCATGCTGACAATGGCAGCATTGTAAATTATAGATCCCTGTCACTGGAACGTTGAAATCAGAGGAGGGAAAGGCCAGATATCACAGGTGCCTGTCCCCTGGGCCTTCAGCACCCAGTGTTTGTGCTGTTTCAAGCAGAGCTCAGTGACCTGCCGAGGAGGCTGAGTGAAGATTTTTGGTGCTAAAGGCTTTTCAGGCCCTAAATTCTTGCTTGGTGTTGTCTTTCTGTGGACACAGCATCTGTTTGGCTTCTTCCTCTTTAGTTCTTCCTGGGGAGATGGACTGGGTGCCTCTGCAATGCCTCTTAATAAGCCTAAGTGCTGTGGCAACAGCTCGTTAGCCAGACTCTGCTCAGGAGGCTCACGCTCTTTGTTGTGCCTGCTCCAAGTCTCAGCAGAACCTTAGACTCAGAGCAGCCCCGTGGGCTTTGGCAGAGCAGAGCGCCTGCACATTGGTTCAGCCAAGATAGCACTGTTGCACAGAGCTTATTTTAAAGCCCTGGGTGGGAGACACTGAGCACGTATGGAGACACTGTCCTGGCCCTTGTGAAGCTTCCACCTTCCTGTGTACCAGCTTTAAATTCTGGGCCCAATGCCAGGAGGAGTGACCAGTTTTTGTCCCGGACAACCTCCTCTAAGTGGACTGTTCTGCGAACAAACAGAAAACAAATGTTAAAGAGCCTTATTCTGACCCTCAGCTCTCAAGAACATAGTTCAGGGTAAGAAAGAAGCCAGTGCCCTATGAAGGGACAGAGGGGGTCTGTGCGGTTTGCACATGGGGCACCCCACTGGCTGAGGGGCCTGCAGGGGTTCCTATTGACAATGTACGAGGAGCCCTACAGCTCTCATCCCTTTCAAGATATGGAGTCTTCCCTAAGGAAGCTGATGTTTATATTCTTTGCTCCACTAGGTTTTGACCTTTGTGAAGTTGGCCAGGAGGAAGTAATCCTGAAAACCGGGAAACAAGCCAATCGAAGAACCATGCACTTTGCGCTCCAGTCTCTGCTCGCCCTTTTCGGTGAGAGTTCCGCCCAGAGCCCCCTGGGGACGGAGGCCAGCACAAATCTGGCAACATTTTGGGAAGGGGAAGAAATATTTTTTGTGTTAGGCTGTTTAAGAGCAGTAAATAAAAACTACCTGCTTTCACAGAACTTGCAGTTAAAATACACGTATTATATAAGATGAGGTGTTGCCTAGTGCTATTAAGAAAACAAATCAAGTAAGAGATTAGAAAGTAAGAGGGTGGCCGCAGAGCAGACAGGACGAGGGAGGAGCTCCACCCAGACCACGGGGCCTGGGAGGCAGGTGTCGACCCCAGGGGCACACCTGCCTGCCGACCTCAAGGGGCCACACTAGCTGCAGCAGAGAGACTAAATGCTGGCTCCACTGGATCTGCTCAAGAATGTATGTCAGACAGAAAGGATCAAAGGTAACACCGTTTTTTTTGGAACCGCCAGAATGGGGCTGCCTTTTGCTGAGACCTTGAAAGTAGCAGGAAGAGTGGGTTTGAGTTTTACTTTGGACATATGAAAAAATTATCTATTAGATACCTACATAGGCAGCTGCTTATAAGAATGTGGAGTTCTGGGAGAGGTCAATGTGGAGATATAAATGTGCATACAGGGCCAAGGGCAAGAGGACTATGTCCTGTGGGCATTCTGGGGTTCAAAGGTCACACTGAGGGGCCTGGGAAGGAGCAGTCAGGGCAGGGTGTGATGGCCTGAGAGGAGTGGGCGAAGAAAGGCGGGAGGGGAAGCAGTGTGGAGAGTGTGTGTGAATGACCTCTGTGTGTGTGTGAGGCTGCTGGGATGTGGAGCAATGGGGCTGTCTCTGGAGGGACAGTGAGTGTGGGTCTAGGACAGGGGACATCACAGATTTCCCACAGACCCCAGTCAGAGCTGCAGGCAGATGTGCAGGGCTGTGAGCTTGCCTAGGGTGTTTATGTCCCTATGTAAGGTTTCCTTTATCCAACAGAACCATGTTTTTCAAGATGAATTCAGGTTATACATAAGTAGCACTTATAAAGATGGTTGTGAATTTGAAAGAAAAATCAAAACCATACAGAATTCTAACTGCCCTCTGGGTACATATGTTTTGTCTTAGATTCTACTGAGCTGCCCAAGCGCCTCAGCCTTGACAGCTCATCCTCCTTGGAGTCCCTGGCCTCAGCTCAGTCTGTCTCCAATGCCCTGCCCTTGGGCTACCAGCATCCTCCCTTCTCTCCCACTGGTGCAGACAGCATTGCCTCAGATGCCATCTCCGTGTACAGTCTGAGCTCCATCGCTTCCTCGATGAGCTTTGTCTCCAAGCCCGAGGGTGGGTCAGAAGGTGGGGGCCCCCGAGGTCGGCAAGACTATGACAGGTCCAAGAATGCTTACCCACAGCGATCCACTCTGCCCCGGAGCCGGCTGTCCCCCCAGACCCGCCCTGCAGGCAGCAAAGACGAAGAAGAATATGAAGGGTTTTCCATCATCAGCACTGAGCCTTTGGCGGCCTACCAAGAAAACAGAAAGACAGGCTTCTCACCAGATCACAAACAGTCCCGAGGAGGGACAGCTGGAGGTGTGAAAGTTTCAGTAAGCTCCAAGGGGAGTGTAAGTACTCCAAATTCTCCAGTTAAAATGACTTTGATTCCCAGCCCAAACTCACCCTTCCAAAAGGTTGGAAAACTAGCAAGTTCAGATACGGGAGAATCAGACCAGTCTAGCACAGAAACAGACAGTACTGTGAAATCTCAAGAAGAAAGCAACCCAAAGCTTGATCCACAAGAGTTGGCCCAGAAGATTCTAGAAGAGACACAAAGTCATCTCATTGCGGTGGAGCGTCTTCAGAGGGGCAGCAGTCAGAACAGCAAGAATAATAACCCAGAAGATGGCATTTCCGTGCCAAACAGTGCCGCCATCTTCAGAGCATCAGAAACAAGTGCTTTCAGCAGGCCTGCCCTCTCCCATCAGAAGAGTCAGCCATCACCAATCACAGTTAAACCAAAGCCCCCAGCCAGAAGCTCATCCCTGCCCAAGGTGAGTTCAGGCTACAGCAGCCCCACCACCTCGGAGGCATCCATCAAAGACAGTCCGAGCCAGCACAGTGGCCGGCCGTCACCTGGCTCCGACTCTCAGACTTCCTTGACCGACCAGCCTCTCTTTAAACTGAAGTACCCCAGCTCTCCTTACAGTGCCCACATTTCCAAATCACCAAGGAACATGTCCCCAAGCTCAGGCCATCAATCTCCTGCTGGCAGTGCACCATCCCCAGCACTCTCCTATTCCTCAGCTGGTTCCGCGCGCTCGAGTCCAGCTGATGCTCCTGACATAGACAAACTAAAAATGGCAGCCATTGACGAAAAGGTGCAGGCCGTCCACAACCTGAAGATGTTTTGGCAGAGCACACCCCAGCAGTCCACGGGACCAATGAAAATATTTCGAGGGACCCCTGGAACAATGACTTCCAAAAGAGATGTCCTCAGTCTATTAAATTTGTCGCCTCGGCATAATAAGAAGGAGGAAGGAGTAGACAAGCTTGAACTTAAGGAACTGTCTTTGCAGCAACATGGAGAAATGCCACAAAAGGCCCCTCCCAACGGACATTGGCGCAGTGAGACCACCACACTGAGCACGCTGCCGCTGCCCACCAGCCCTCCCGCTGCGGCTCCCGCTCGCCCTTTGAGACTTCCTTCTGCAAACGGCTACAAGTTTCTGTCCCCAGGAAGATTTTTTCCTTCCTCTAAATGCTAAAGCATCTTTTACACCCACGGACTCAGAGTGCTGCAGCCCGCGAGGAGGATCTGGGCATTCACTGGCCTACTCCCTTGTCTGAATGCAGGCACCCCATGAAGCCACCGGCCCACTCGCGATGGGTGCACTCTCCAGGTGAGGGGTGCCACCACGCCCAGAGGTCACCACACATTCAGCTAGTGGCTTCTCTGGGACTATGGGCCAGAGTCACCAAAAGCCAGGATTTCTGTGGGGTTGGTACAAGAGGCTCGTGGAATTTTCTACACACTTCACCAAATGTTTACCTTTGAACTCCTTGCTTCTCATCTTTGATGTGATTCTTCAACAGGATTTTTGTAGAAAAATGGTCATGGTTCTGGGGTGGGGAGAGGAAAGGGAGCACATATTTTGCTAAGAGGTAGATATGCAGTACCTTTTGTACACAGAAATACAAATAGAGCTTTTTTAAGGCTTTCAGGTGCTGGTTGGGGGTGGGATACATAAAATCTAACCTGAATTCTACATGAAGGTGATATATTAGCCAAAAACCAAAAAATGGCTTTAAAAATGCCAATGATTTGTAATTAAATTGTAGCAATTCTGGTCTCATTATATCGTAACATCACAGTAACAATGCAATAATTCACACAGAAACAGTGCTTCCATCCCGAACTCTGTTCTGCCTCATCGAGCTCTACAAAAGTCCTTGGGGCCCCACTGTTAACCAAACTTGAATTTTCTTAAAAATTTTATGTAACTCTTATCCAGGCATTTTAGAACTATGCAATTGTGATTTTAAAATGCAACTTTGTGCTTTTAAAACATTATTGACCTTTTTTTGTATGTGGATAAACAACTTGGTTTTCTTATCAACAGTCCTTTGCATTTATAGCTATTATTTTTAAAAGCTCAAAAAGTTTTTTAAAATGTCAAATTTTGAATAGTCATCAATAAGTAATTACCAAGTTTTTTGGGGAAAGATTGAAATTATTCAGTTTCCTTATAGCAAAAAAAAAAAAAAAAAAGAAAAAAAAAAAAAAAAAAAAAAATCCCCTGGCTAACTAGATTTGACTATTGCCTTCCAGCTCTTATTCCCTTTACTAGCTGCTTAATTTTATTATTTTCCCATCTCCAGGCCTCTAAAGCCACTTCTATCAGAATCTGTTGCCAGGTTCCCACAAGCCCAGCACCCCCATACCTGTGAGATGCACATGGACCCTCACCTCAGCTGTGACTAGTGCCCCTTCCTCCTGCATCTGAAGGACAAGCCCCCTCCGCTCCCTCAGAAAGCTGTAATGTCTGCAGCCTGAAAAGCAAGGGTCTTCTGCTGGATTTACATCCAAATTATTCCTGGATAGGGAAACAGACATCCTTGAGAGTGTCATAGTAAAACAGGTATATTCCTACAGCTGTGACAGTACACTGAAACCAGCGCCAACGAGGAGGAGACAAAAGAATAGTCTAGGTAGGAGCAACCATTAACTTATTCGAGTAAAGAAATGAAAAGCTGAAAATCATATTAGTATTAAGTTTAGTTGGAGAATTTAAATAAGACTTTTAGGTAATTCTAAAATTGAGTCCCACCACCTTCAGCGTGAGGGTATATGTGTATCTATGGGCAGCCACTTGGCCCAGGACACCAGCAACACATGGAGTGGACAGGATGGGCCTGGCAGGAGGGACACTAACATCAAGATCCCCACGTAGTTTTTAACCTTGGGTAGGATGGATCTCACTTTATAAACATATCCTGACCACTTACCCTGTTCCTCCTTGTACTCCGAAAAGAGAAAAGGATAATATTCGTGTTGTTTTTCTGAGCTATGGTCATAGAGGTTTTTGCATTTAATCCAACAGCCATATTGACAAAAGCAAACAATAAGGATGTCCCATTCTAACCTTGATCCCAACGCTGGAAGAGAAATACTTTACTTTATAAAAAAGCAAGTAATTTATGAGGTTGTCTTTATGTCAGTAGGGAAAAACATAAATGGTCACAAAAGTACTATTGTAGCGGATGAAAGCCAAGTTTATAGCACTGTGCATTATTACATGGCAGAATCAGGTCCTCAAAAAAAACTAAACCTCAAAGTAAATTTCTGAATCCATATGTAGATAGTTGGGCTGTTTCTTTCTCAGCAAATTTCAGCCTCTTTCCCAAGTGCCAAGGAGCCCTGGAGGAAAGGCCTGGGGCCGGTGCTCCCTCCACAAGATGAGGGTGCTGCCCCACTGGCCCACCTCTAAGCGCAGTCCCTCCACCACCCAGACCGCTTCCTGTGCTTATCAAGCCTGGGAGGACTCGTGGATCCTAACCTGGTTTTAGTCCTACGTACACTGTTGTTTTGGATTTCATGTTGAAAAGCCAAATGGTATTTTTTTTTTGTCCTAGATCTAAGCTTCAATGAAGGAAAGCAAAGATGATGGAATAATGAGACCAAACTAAAAATCACTGTAGAGTCGCCGCTTCTTTATGTTTACCGTCAGTCTTGGTGTTTTCTATATGAGTGAAATGGACGTAAAATCAAGGTGAATTTTTCAGGCTACGCTGAAAAGAAAACCATGCACTTAAAAATTATGAGATTGTATAATTCACAGATTTCTTTTACAGATCAAGGGTTGGCAAACTACAACCCACAGGCTAAATCTGGTCAGAGGCCAATTTTTTTACATGAGCTAGGAATGGATTTTACACTTTTAAATAGTTATATAAAGCACCTATATATTCTTGATTTTGCCTCTTGGCCCACAAAGCCTAAAATATCTTATACCTGGTCTTTTAAGAAAGTTTGCTGACTCCTGGTATAGATAACAGAAAACACAATTAGAATAATGTATTGTTTCTACAATCTAGAGAAAGTGTCAGGTTGTGGACAAAATTAGCTGGTGTGCATGGGAACCCTGAGCCATGTGCACAAAAGCAAATGACCCTCCATAGCACTTGGCCGTTTGCCCCACTTTGGAAGGAGCCAGAGGATGTGGGTAAAATTTACAAAAATATTTTTTTCCTCCATATGCAGATAGCATTGCTTTTTCAGCTCAGGAAACTGGGTCCTGCCCCTACTCTTCTCCGTCAGATGCAAACATACTGCACACAAGCAATAAAAATCTCCCTCTCTTCGAGACCTTGGGGTGACAGACCGCAAAGCAAGGGAGTGGCAGACTCGACCTTAATTCTCAGCAGTGAACCACGCCAACTACTTCGCTGATTCTAAGTCAAAATACCAGGACAAAATTAACTACTAAAATTTACATTTTGATACACATTATTGTGTAGTAAATGAAAATAGTCTCACCTCCATCCCATTTGAATAAATTCCTGGTCCACACTGATACTTGCTGCGTCTCAGCAGGAGACCAGGTGCTGCACACACTGTCCTATCCAGATCTTGTCTGTCCCAGTGACTCAGAAGGTGATCACTGTAGCAAGTCTCCAGTACGGTGCCTGCCTGTCCCACCACCTGCCACCACAAGATTAGTCACTTTGTTAGTTTCAGTTTAGGTTGGAAAAAATACCAATTATCTGGTTTGCTTTTAGTAAGTAGGCATAAAGTGAAAATTGTATAATTTTTCATCACATATTTTGTTTTATCTAAAATGATTGTACATGTGGTTTGTGAACTAAGCCCTTGTTTGTGCCAGATCCTTCAAAGATATTCCATGTAAGGACAAATGCGGTCACCTCTTCCTTCTTCAGACCCCTTTCCCCACTTGGCACTCACGCCCCTTGTATGCAGTGTTAGCCATCTTTGGCCCATGTGGACTTTTTTTGTAAAGTACACAGTTTCCAGATGGCATTAAACTTTTTATATTATGAAATTTATCATGTAAAAAGAACTTCATATTTTTATTGAGACTGCTAAGGCACTTGGCCTTCCTTTGTGATTTCAGTGTCTATTAAAGCATGAGTTCCCTCGGTTTTAAGTGCTGTTATCTGAATTGCTTTCTATACACATTCCACATTTTCTAGGTTTCTTTGCAGCACACAGAGTGGCCATGTGTCATAAATGAGCACAGATCTCTGTCTAGAGTTTTATCCTTATAAATGCATTGCAACCTCACATTTGCCAGGAGCAGAGCACAGGCTTCTCCAGCTCTAAGGCACTAGGTACCTGTTAATGGATGGCTATTTAGATGGCTAACTGCTTCTGATCATCTACGATCGTATTTGGAGGACCAGAAATTCTACAGTTTTATAAGTGTTTAGACTAAAACAAAAAAAACCTAATAGTCCATTACCACCAGATCCTTGAATCTAAAGCAATTTCTAAGGAAAGTATTTCAGGGAGAAGGAAAACAATCCTACAGGTAAAAGTCTGAAAAGTATGAAGGAATAGTGAACAAAGAGCAGGTAAATGTAAAAAAATCAAAACAAATATTAATTGTATAAAAAGTACTGTCCCATTTGTGTAGACAATAATACGTAAAACAAGGAAGTTAAAGTGTTATAAGTTGTTTGGGAAGAGAAGACTTACTTTTAGAGTAAGTTAAATAAATGTGCATAATCACACAAAAATAGAAGTTAAGGGTTATACTTCCAAACTATTTAGCAGACAATAAGAAACTTTTAAAAACCTTAATTGAGCTAAAGGAATAGAAAAAGGAACAACAACAATCATTTTAAAAGCAGGATGAATATAAAATAAGATGACAGAAAATTACCCTAGTCATTATAAATGTAAGTGAACTAAACAATTAAAAAGATTGACATGATGATATGCCACATACTCTTTAAAAAACATATTTGCTGTTTGGAAAAAATATACCAAGGCATAAGGCCCTGAACTGGCTGACAATAAAAGGATCAGCAAAATAGACTTAAAATATAAAAACAAAAAATTCATATTCTAATGTTTAAAAAATACTTAGCAGAAAGGCAACATTCTAAATTTGTACGCAGCTAACCATATAGCTTAAAAATTCATAAAGTAAAAACTGGCAGAAATACAAGCTTGGAAAACTACATTGTCATAATGAGAGCTTCTACCCTCTACTCTCAGTAACTGACGGATGAAGCAGGCCAAAATTTAGAAAGCATATGGTAGGCTTAAACGAATTCAGCAAACAGAGAACCTGGCCTTAGAGAATCCACATTCTTCACAAGCACACATGGACTATTTTATGAAGACAGGCCCTGTACAGGCCACATAGCAAGTCTCGGCAAACACTCAGGAATAAGTATCATCGCCACCATTTCCGCTTGCATGCTATTTTCAGGACTTACACATACAGTATAGAATAGCTTAAGAATAAAATTAACTTTAAATTCCATAAAAATTAATGGGATGCAGTTAAAGTGGCATTTTAAAAGAAAAATGTACAGCCCTCAATGTTTACATTCAAGGGTAATATTCAAAATACGTAACTGCACAAGCCCCAACCAAGGCCTGCCTGTCCTAAGCAGCCAGTGCCATGATACTAGTGTGTAGTGGCGTAAGGGAAAAATAACCACTGAGACAGGCAACCAATTCAAGAAGTTAGCAAAATAGCAAACCCAGACAGAAAAGAAGAAATAAGAGTCAGAAAATTCACAAAAGGCAATATAGAAGATCAAGAAAGGCAAAGTATCAAAAAGACAAAATATACTAATTTCTGGGAAGGGTGATCATTTTTGTGGTGGAGGGGCATGGGAGAAGCAAGAGAAGGAGATGTGGATACAGCTTAAGATGCAGCAGAGATTAAAAAATAAAATACTTTGAACATTTTTATGCCCATATGTGTGAAAATACAAAATAATAATATTGTTTAGGCATACCTGGTTGAGGTATCTAGAATGCATAGAATGACAGACCTCAAATTCAGGAGAATGGTGCCACTGTCAGGGAGAGAAGAAAAGGAATTAGAATCAGAAGCAGTATATGAATGACTTCATAAACTGCTTGCTCACATATAGGAACTATTTGATAATGAATGAATGAATGAATGAATGGCCTGGACAGAAGGCAGCTCCCAGCCCTGTCCCTTCCCCCAACAGGCGGCCCTCCCTGACCTGTGCGTGCTGTGGGGCACCCCAGGTTCCCACCACACTAAGAAGGTTCGGGCTAGGCCTACACCCCCAGGGCATACCACTAATCATCTCACAGAGCTACTAGGTGCCCTGGGCTTTCCTCGAAATCGTGGCCCACCAGATAAGGGTCAGATCTGGACCTTAGAAATGGTATTTCACTTGTAGTGTGCCAAAGCTGTCGGGGTGGGGGGCTGTTGGTGGCAGGGAAATGGGACACACACGTACTCCCGTGTGTTCCCAGCTGCCCAGTGCATTCAGTCATTGTGATGTGGGGCTCATTTGTTACTGCAGCCCGGGCAGCCAGATGCTAGGTTGGTGGGGGTGGGGACTGAGACAAGCAGGGCAGGTGTAGGGTAACAGTGACAAAAGGGAGAATGAATGAAGAGTATCACTGGCAATGATACAACAATAAGTTCAATTACATTAACTTTTAGAAAAAATTATTAAAAGTCTGGTGCAAGAAAGAAAACTTAAAAGAAATCAAATCCCATAAAACTAAAGTGGTAATCAGAATTCCTTGCCCTTTACCCGACTCTCCAAAAAAATGTAGGCCCAGATGGTTTTACATGTATTTCACCAAACTTATAGGGCCAGCTGATCTCTTATCTTTTCAAATTAAGAAAATATAAAAATAAGAGAAGATATCCAAATAATCTCATGATGCTTTTCTTAATTCTAAGAAAACAATAGGCCCACTTCATTTTTGAACCTAGACATAAAAATCCTAAATAAAACATTGGCCATAAAATCCCTGTATTTTTAAAACTAGGAAAACATAATTGAAAGTGGATCTACGTGCTGATTACGAGAGCATTAGTCTGCTGATGAACACACACGTGCTATTCCTAAGGGGCCGGAGCCCTAGGCAGCACCTATAAACACACTCACATATGGAAACTAACAAGCATTAAACTATGGAGAGCATTACTACCCTGAGGACTGCAGTGGCCGAATTCTATGGTTCACACAGTAACTAGACAAGAAACAAATCTATTATATCCTATTATAAGAACAATGAAATATGTACATCAGTGTAACGGGAATTCCAAGCTGTTCTACCATTTCTTAAGAAACAGTATAAGAACTATACTCTGATATCACTGTTAAAGTAGAAACTGACTTTAGTACAACCATCTATAGAGCAAATCTAAGGACACAAGGTTAACACAGAGCTATGCAAGGATTTATGAGCACAACAGTGTGGTCCCTATTACCTTAGGAAATACAACTTATGTTCTCTGTTACTGCTAAAAACTGCATATCCAATTATGAATACATGTTTTGTTAGATGCTTCCTCGGAAAGAGAGAATGATCCTTAATGAAGATTTGGTTATGTGCTTGAGGACCTCAACTGACAGCTAATACAAAAGGCAAGTACGAGCAGGACTACCCTTAGCTATGGCAGCTGCTTTTTAATATTAATATTCTAATATTTTATTTATAGTTACTTTGTTTTGTTGTTTTTATTCTCAGAATTTCTGGACAGGGACTGCAGCTTGGTACCTTTCTCAATTTAAAGCCTTTCTTCAACTTTCCCAATGAGCATGCATGCTTACAGCCTCTAATACTACTAAATAATGGCAAACAGCAGGGAACTGACAGGCTAATGCTGTATCCACTCCAGCAAATGAGGCCAAAACATCTGGATCCAAATACATTAAAAGGACATGTTGGCATTAAGGAAACATTTTGCCTCTCAAATGAATTTACACCCAATCTCAAGATATTTATTAAATTTCCAGCAATTGTGCAGTCGAGCTTCAGGGAACAATAATATTCTTAAAGATATAAATAGTCTCAATACATTTCTATTAAATAAAAAATTTTACAATTCTAAAATAACTGTAAATCCCAGCAGAACTCAGTGGCTAGCTACTCTTTTGGTTAACTGGGACAGGCAAATAAATTCTAATCCGCCTGGCAGTGTTTGGCCAAAGTCTGTTTATTTTTTTTTTCATATATAGAGCTTTCTGAAAAGCAGTCATTTACTTTTTGAACCAAAAATGCAAAAAGCACTTCTTATTTCAAGTCATTCATTTCACATATATTTGCAGAAGCTTTGTTGAAATTACAAAAATGTAGCCAGTAAAAAATAAACAGAAAGATAAAATAGATGTTAAAAAATCCATAAAATAAAGATGGTCCACTTTCCTTAATTAGATGCCATTCTCTCCTGTAGTACACACAATTCAAACAGGATGAAGAATAAAAATGCCAGTCATTGTGCTCCCCCATACCCGCTCCCACCTCTCCTAAGAACCGCCTTGGCCCAGCCCCGAGGGACGGGGCAGTGTACAGAGGCAGCTGCGTTTATGCGGAGGGACCTAACTCCTGGCTGAGCTGATGAGGCCAGAGCAGAACCACCAATCCCGTGGGAGGTCAGACCTCCCTGCAATCACATTCCTTTTCTCATGAATTCAAATCCAGGAATCTTGACTAGATTAGGTCTTTGCAGCTAAAGTGAAAGCCAAAAGGGTAACGATGGAAACAGGTCAGTGGGGCCAGTGTGGCCACGTGTAGGCCAAAGTTGCAGAGGTGCAAAAACTATGAGTGAGTGGAGGAAGCCAGCAGTAGAGACAGGTGAAAAGAACGATGCGAAGGCGGCTTGAGAAAGACGAAGTCCCTTAAGCAGCCAAGTTTCAGGCCACTCGACAGTTCCATGTTCAGCTACTTGCCACTTGGGGTAACATGAATGAGACTTCTTCTCCTGATTTAATGGCCTTAATTATGGATGTTTGAACCTAAGGTATAACAGAAAAGTTAAAAGTGGAGTGGGGAGGAGGCTGTAGCATCAGGCAAATTGAAGAAAGAAGTGACAGCAAAGGAATACATATATATGATTGGGTAATAGAAGCACACACGAAGTATGGAGGTCTGAGGCCACGCAGGGAAAGGCCATTACCTAGCCCTGTATGGAATCAACGAGAAGAGAAATCCCGCGTTCCTCCTGACGGCTGGGGCTTGGCCTGCTCTCCCAGTACTGTGGAGGGAACTGCCTGGGCCCCGCTCCACAGCGAGGAGCTCTGCTCGCCAGACTACTGAAGGGACAGCAAGCCAACATTCTCCCCTTTCTCTCCTGTCACATTTTTCCTCTCAAACAAGTCATTCCTATCAGCATATAAATACACTGTAATCTCTCAAATTAGCCCCACGTCCCCATCCAGCGAACATCCCATTTCTCTGCTCTTCTTGTAGAATAAAGCTTCCGACTGGTCTATCTACTTTTTGCCCCTAACACAAGAACAGCTATATCCACATTGCAGAATCTAAGGGTTACGTAGTTCTCTGCAATGCAATACAAAGCATACAGCATCACTTATGAGGTACTCTTGAATAAAAGTTTCATCTGCATTTAATTAAGCTTTTAAGTATGTGCACATAACTTTCAATGAAAATGAAGATTATTAGAATGAGTTACACAACACCATGAGAAAACCATGAGGCAAGCCCAGAACGTGGGGCCACCCACACTCCATACAGTGCTTTTCAATACAACTTTCTGCAATGATGAATATCTGTGCTGTCCAACACAGTAACCACTAAGCACGTGTGGCTATTAGGCAACCAAAATATGGTTAGTGTGACCGAGAATCTGAATTTTATTTTAATATAATTTTGATTTATTTATATAGGCCTGGTCTCTTAAGCCAATATTAGAAAGAAAAAAATAGAGACTAGGTACTTTTCAAGAATAAAAGAATTTTAAATAAGAAGCATTACAACTGAGTGTAAATACAATTGCATTTCTAGATATTAGCAACAAACACTGGAAAACAAAATTAAAACCAATTCTGTCTACCATTATGTCAATAAACATAAAATTGATTAAACACACTGAACTGTATAGTCAAAATGGGTACAGTTCATAACATTTGGATTACACCTCAATAAAGTTGAAAAATACTTAGAATAAATTAAAGGTAAGACTTTTACATTGAAAACTATATAACACTGTTGAGAAAAAGACATAAATGGAGAGAGAGAATGGAATATTCAAGGATGGAATATTCAACACTGTTAATATATTAATTCTCCCCAAATTTATTCACAGAGTTTACACTATTGCAACCAAAATATTAGCAGGGAAAAACAAATTAAAAAAGAAGAGGTTGCCCTCATACTTACTTTAAGGCTCCTGTAAGACTATATGATTTTGACATATGAAGAAGTGTATCAGTGGAAAGAATCTAGAAATATATGGAGAAAAGAGCCCAGACATACATGGTCAACTGATTTTCAATAAAGGGTGACAAGGGAATTCAATGGGTGAAGGACAGTATTTTTGATATATGGTACTAAAACAACTACATATTATGTAGGAAAATAAAACCTCAACAGGTACCTCAAACCATATTCAAAAATTAATTCAAGATGGATCATAAATCTAGACACAAAAGTTGAAATTATAAAGCTTCACACAGAAGACCTAGCTAGAGTTAAGCAAAGATTTCTTAAGACACAAAAAACTAACCATAAAAAAGTTAATAAATTGGAATCGAAATTAAAACCGTCTGCTCTTCAAAAGAAATACTAAGAAAATGACAAGGCAAGTACAGACTAGAACAACATATTCACAGTATCTTTGCCTGACAGAAGACTTGTATCTGTAATATATATAAAACACCTGCAACTCAATAATAAAACATCAAACAATAAAAGCAAATGATTTGAATAGAAACATCACAAACGAAGATATATAAATGATCAATAAGCACATGAAAGTGTGCTCAGAATCATTAGTCATCAGGGAATGCAAATTAAAGTCACAATGAAAAAACATTTCCCATCTTTAGAATGGCTAAATTAA